TGGAGTGACATTGGCTTTCTTCCAGTCCTCAGGCACCTCTCCTGATCTCCAGGACCTTTCAGAGATGATGGGGAGTGGCCTAGCAATAACATCCGCCAGCTCCCTCAGCACTGGTCCACCACAGCACACCTTCTGCAGGAGAGCTGACTGTCAGCCCAGGCCTCACAGAGAGGCCCCAGGCATTCCCTGCAGCCTGACACCTGCAGAGCTGCATCTGCTGTCAGAGGGGCTGTCTGGGTTGAAGCTTCAGACACAGGTGATGCAGCACCTCCAGCAGCCACTGGGGAATGTGCTCTGCAGTATGTCATGACCATGCCTGGGGAAGTACACACTGCTAGGATTGGAAATGAAGGTGCCTTCTTTTCTTCTGGTGCTCTTCTGTGCGAACTGCTGTGCAAACTGCTGCATCTGTTCGCTGCCTCTGTTAGGTTGGCTCTAAAACTTAGCTATTTGGAAACTTAAATCTTCTTTCTGAAAAATCATATTATTTACATGTCGTTTGGTCTTCAGATTCATAAATCCAAACTGATATAAATGTCAAATACTGTTTAAGTTTTTTAAAAAAATCTTCATTTGATTAATGCTGACAATGTGGAATGTATAGAAACAAAATTTAACAATTTGACAAGGTATAGACCCAATAGAGTTTGCAAGGAAATATGCAATAGGAGCTACCTGTCATCCAACTAGCATTAGCTGGGTTTTAACTGGAAACCTGAGTCATGTTTAGTCTTGGTGGAAATTTTGGAATATATTCTCTTATTACGAGTGGTTGATAACAACATGCAAATATGAAGAAGTAGCCTGATAAAAACAGATAAATTTTAGTATAGGGGCAAAACTGTTCTCAAAAGAGAACAAGGGAAGCTATAAAAAAAATTTTTTTTTGAAACATTTGAGATTTAATAAAAACCAAACAAACCTCAAAATAGGTACTTTGACCCATGGTAATTTATTTGCTGTGATGTAGCAGCAAGGCAGGAAATCACCTCATTCTCTCCTATTGAACTTAAAAAAATACATACACACACACACACACACACACACACACACACGCATGCGCGCACATATATACACATGAATGTAATCTGTATTCTCCTCAGCATTTTGCCAGATACAGAACTTGGCATTCTCAATTTATCAACTTCAGGAGTGCCTCTCTATTTTCAAGGTTTTTTTAGATGAATATGCAGAACACAAGTTATCAGGCTGCTGTTGGAAACCTACAGAAGGAATGTTGGAGGCAATAGATTATCATAAAATACAACAGTGTTTGTTTCTATTTGGAATTAAAAAGAGTAGGTAAATGTATTCTGTAGTAGTGTACTGGGCAACAAATAAAATACTTACTTAGTCCTTATCGTGACTGATATCAATTTGGAAATGTATGAAAAGCTAAATTGATAAAACATGCAACAGAATAAAAATTCATTAGTAGGTGGTATTTAACATTACAAGATATTAGCACAGTTTTTAGGTATGCTAACTATTTCCAGTGAAACTGTCCTTTGCTATATGATTCAACAATAATATCTGGATGTCTTGTATGATGAATAAAGTAACTCGCATGCACACTGAAGCTCTTCTATCATTGGATATGATGTAATTTAATCTTATTTTTCCACCAGCACAATAAATGTGACTATGTGAAACAGAATCTGCATTTGCATATAACATTTTACTTTGAAATAATCTTCCAAAAATGAGGAAAATGAATACAGTGCAAGGAGTTTGATTTTCCCAAAAGACTATTTACAGTTTTGTTGAACTGTTAATCTACTTGCCTTACAATAAATGCTTGTTCTAGTTCTAGTCATTATAATACAGTTCTGTTTCAATATTGCATGATCTGCGGGCTGCCCTAAAGTTGTTACAAATTGGAGGGCTGATATAACATGAAATGAGGCACCTCGTCTGAATGTTGCTTTTGTTCTGTATTTAACAAATTAGTATGTTGACATTTGTCACTGATGGATTTCATTATTTGCTGAAAGGGTTTTAGGGGGTTTGACAGCATGAATGGTTTATTCTACAGACTTGAGAATTGATAAAGGCATCTTTGTTCTTTGTGCAAAAGCACAACAGATATCTTATTGACTGACACACACAAAAAGGAAAGCTTGTATAGCTGCTGCACAAAATAAACTAAGAAAATAATTTTGGAGCCATTACTTATTCTTCTATGTTGTTCTCTCTCTTTGTGCTAACAACACATATCTCATTAATCAACGTAAGAAGGATTGGATCCTCATTCAGTAAATTGAAAGCATGTATTTTATATCAGGTGCAGTTTACATACTGTTTATAGATGACAAAAATAAGAAAAACAGGTAATGACGGACAGCAGGACTAGTTAGTTAAATTTTCAGACACAGGTGATGCAGCACCTCCAGCAGCCACTGGGGAATGTGCTCTGCAGCATGTCATGCCCCTACCTGGGGAAGCACACACTACTATGAGAAATGAAGGTGCCTTCTTGCCTTCTGGCACCCTTCTGCACAAACTGCTGCCTCTGTTCACTGCACTTTGGGAGCTGTGCTCTAGGCCTGGCTCTTATATAGGCCTCTGCCTAGCGCTGGCTCACAGGGTGCTTGACCCACCCAATCAAGAGCCACCTGGATCAAAGGCCCCAACTCCCTCTGACCAGGGGCAACCAAGAGAGCTTCTTGAATGCTGCTTGGACACCTTAAAATGATTTATTTAATGAAAAGCTGTTGAGTATTCAATTAAAATCTGGGAAGCTAGGAGGCAACATTGTGTTGAAAGCAGGATAGAAACATATAAACAACTTTCTCGTATTAACAGCAGTAGTAACATTGTACTTAAAATGGAAGACAGAATTCCCTTTTCTGAGATATTTTCTGGTTATGGGTATTATTTTTAAACATAATTTGGCCAGTTAATACTTTAAGCTTAAAAAGGACTAGCATCTCGCCGCAAAAGAACTTTTAATTATGGCTGTGTGTGTAACAGGACTGAAATACCCTGAGCTTGTTATATTTGTATTATAAATTGGTTTTTAATGCAATGCTTAAGGAGTGTAAAAGCAGGAACTACTAATGTTTTTCTCCATTTTGAAGCAAAAAGTTGTGTTTATTTGCATTTTTCTCATTAGTCGTATATTTTCTTAAATGTGATCCTTTATGAGAGAAATGAAGGGAATTCTTTCTTATTTTGTAACAGCTGCATTTGTTTATGGGCTCTTATTTGTAGGTTGTTGTAATAATTTGACCTAAAATGGACAGATGTATGAACTCCTATATAAAACCATATTCTAAACAGTGTAGCCCTCTGCTCGACAAGAGTGCTTAACTTGTCAAAACAGAAATTTCCAACAATAACCACCTTGAATCAGAAAAGAACAGACCTGTCAGTTCTGTGAGGTGATCTAGATGAAGATATGAAACTTCAGTCGTTACATTTTTCTCTCTACTTGCAATTAATGATGTCACACACAAATCACATTATCGTGATATTAGACTATTAAAAGCTATGCAAGCCATAAGATTAGGTGAGTTCCCCTTCTCATTATTTTTTCCTGTGACTTACTGCTGCTTAGAATTAATTTGAACGTAGGTTACTTTTGAGTGAAACGGAGATTATACACACTAAAGATGACACAAAAACCTTATAGGTGCGTTACAGTAAAACAAACTACTGGCATCTCTAGAGGTCAGGACATTCATATGGTGCACTTTCTCTGCTCTGTCCATTAAAATTCACTCATCACTATCTTTACTCCCACAGGTTTTCTCAGAGTTGCCATACCTTACAGGTCTCATGAAAAAGTAAAAATTCTTCCTAGTTTTCATTCTTTACATAACGTGTAATATATTTGGTAGTTTGTCTTTTGATAAAAGGAGCTGAAAAATTTGCAGGCAGTATTTGGAAAATAGTTTATGAAAGTGCTACGACCTCGCTGTCTCAGCTCAGGTCTGATTGCTGTTCTGTTGGGTGCCCTTGGTTTCCATTAGGAGCTGAATGTGTTCACTATTTTTCGGAAAGTATTCAGCCCTTCTCAGATCACTGCCCTTGCTTTGTAGCCAGCTAGGAAATTTGATAACCATAACCAGCCTAAAAAAACCTTTGATTTGATATAATATATTCTGCTCTTTTAAAACACATGCATAAATCTTAATGCTAATGGGCATTGCATG